CGTTCTGGTGGGCGTGCGCGAGATTGTGCAACGTGATTCACGTTATCGCCTGGTGGGCGAGGCCGTCAGTTCCAGCCAGTTGATCGAGCTGTTACGCGCGCACCGGCCGCAAGTGCTGATCACTGATTTCAACATGCCGGGCGACGACACCTACGGCGATGGCTTGAAACTGATCGAGTACATCCTGCGGCACTTCGCCGACACCCAGGTGCTGGTGCTGACCATGATCTCCAACAGCCTGATCCTCACCCGTCTACAGGAACTGGGGGTGGCAGGCGTGATCCAGAAAAACCACCTGCACGGCGAAATCGAAAAAGCCCTGGGCGCCATCAGTGACCAGCGCAATTACCAGGCGCCTGCGCCTGCGGCAACGTCGGTGCTGGGCAGCGCGTACCAGGTGCAGGAGCGTTTCCAGAGCCTGTCGCCGCGGGAAATGGAAGTGTTGCGTTTATTCGTGACGGGCATGAGCGTCAGTGACATCGCGCGGCAGTTGAGCCGTAGCAACAAGACCGTCAGCGCGCAGAAAATCTCGGCCATGCGCAAGCTGGAAGTCGACAGCGACCAGGCATTGCTGACCTATTGCATCGAGGCCCGGCAGTTCCAGTAGTCAGCGGTAGGTGATCTGCATCAACAACAGCGCGCTGTAGCTGCCCGCGTCGGGCAGTTCACCCAGGGACACGGGCTTGACCCGCAGGGTCAGTTCCAAGGGTTCGTCGATTACCGGCCAGGTGCCGGTTTTACCCAGGCTGAAATCAGCCTTCGCGCCTTTATTCAGCAAACCAAGCTGCAACCCCAGCGCCGGGCGGCTGGTGAGCAGGGTGTGGCTGTCGACGCTTCCCAGCCCGGCAGAGAGCGTAAGGCTGACGTGGCTGTTGGCTTGGCAATCGAACACCAGCGGCACGTCGGTGGCGCCGGCGCTGTCGTCGGCTAACTGGTTGAGGTTGACCTTGCCCAGCTCCACCTGTTGCGTGCTTGGAAAGCGCGCCGTGCAGGGTGGGGTGATCAACTTGCCGGTGACGTCGATCTGCGCTTGCTCCGCCGGTTGCGCGAGGGCGGTGCCGGCCACGATCAGCAGAATCCAGGTGAGCGCCTTCATAGGTAATTGAGGGTCATGACCATGGACGACGTAAATGCGCCAGGCGCCAGCGTGCCACGCTCGACCAGCTTTGCCTTGAGGCTGATGTCCACGGTGCCGCTGAGGTTGCTGTACGTCTTGGTGGTGCCGGTGAGGTTCGCT